AAATGTGATTGGTGTTTTCAAGACCACATAGTTACTGTTTATTTTTCTCTCTGCCAGTAGCTATGAAATTACTCTGAACTAATTTGCATGGAATGAGGCTATGGGCTGTAGGTTTGCTATCTTAACTTTATGTGAATAACATTTTGAAGATAGCTGTTTGGAAAGAGTAGATTGCCACAGTGAGGAATGGAGAGAAATTATGAAGGAAAACGATAGTACATTGTGCCTAGAAACTGTTTCTGAATTTGTGTGGTTTATATAATGAATGGGTTAGATTGGTTGGTTGATCAAAATCCTACTGGTATGCATAAGCTTATGTGGCTAACTATAGCTAATTGACAGGGTATCAGGGTATATCTTGGTTGTGCAATTGGATGTGCAACCTGGCGCACTACCAAGATGTATGCTTGCACCTTGTAAGCTACCCCAAAACAGCCATGGCTAGTTTTGCAAACCTTACACAAACACCAATAGCATTGTTCATTTATTTAATATGCTATTTTTCTCTCAATAGGGGACCCAAGATAATAAACATGATTAAAAACACAATGAAGTATAGTGTTAAAAACAATTAAGGAAGTAGGAATAATAAAACCATCATTTAAAAGCATACCAAATCAGTTCAGTATAGGCCACATCCCATAACAGCCTTTAGATGTCAAAGTCATCTAAAAGCCTGCCTAAAAAGGAAGGTTTTCATCTGTTAGTAAAAGGACAAGAAGTTGTGGGGGGGGGGCAACCTGGCTTCCTGGAGGAGTGCATTCTGCATCTTGGGAGCAACTGTGGAAAAGGGTATCTCTTTCGTCCTCACCAAATGAGGTGATGGGAATGAGAGAAGGGCCTCCTTAGAAGATATTAAAAGCCAGAGAGGCTCATTCTTCAACAAGCAGACATTCCTTTAAAAAGTGCAATAGAGGTTGATGTTCGAGACAATACGCAAATTTTTTATTTGCATATAGAGGAGGGATGGGGGAACATGTGTCCCTTGAGACTTTCAGGTACTGCTGTCATTGTCCATGGTATTTGACTGTGTTTCCTATGGCTGTCTCATTCCACATTCTTCACACGGAAGAATACAGTATTTGTATCCTGAAATGGAAAAATCTGGCAGTGAGTTTCTTCTCCACCCTCTTCCAAGGAAGCTGATATAAATCGGGGGCGACTAAATAACAGTCCTTGTCACATTTACAAACTTCGTTCAGATTTTTGTTATTGTTGTGAAACTCTTATGTAAAGACCCTGAACACAGCATGTTTTTAGTTTTGGTTGACATTAGCAAGAAGGCATTGAGATAAACACCAGGGAATGGGCATCCTGTCAATTCCTGCTCTTTTGCATTTCACATACCTGTTTTCTTTCTCAGTGCCCTGTATTTCATTTAAAGCAGAGTTTGGAAAATCCCAACCCTCACTCCTTTTTTTAAAACTTTACATATTTCCAAATCCAAATGGTCATATTGCCGGAGGCATTCTGAAAGTTATAGTCCGAAAGATGAACTCTTACAAACTGTAATTTCAAGTGTATAAGTGGGAAATGATCCACATGTGATCGAATCATACAGTGCATATAAGAGTCGCGTTCCTTGAAAAGTTTAATTCCTTATAAAGAGGTACTCAGGCTGTCTGTATGTGTGCGTTCCAAATATGTGTGCTGCCCTTTATGTCTTTGGCAATCTCTGGGGAGTCCTGGGAAACATTGTTCACAGGTCTGATTTTTTTGTTATAGACTGAAACTTTTGCATAGCAGAAAAACTAGATAACTAGCTTGAGAAAAATTAACTTGGAACAAAAATCTCTCATTAAGTGGGGGCAGGAGAGTGAATGATACTCAGAACTTACATTTTAACAAAGCATGAAAGTTTTAATTTTTTTTTTTTTTACATTTATGGCTGATGAGGGACCATAACTATGTTTATAGAGCTAAAGCAATCATTTGTCTTTGCAAATACACTTGGTAGATCTTTGTTTCTTTCAGAATACTCAGTCTTCCTTAGTGATGACAAGGAGCAATAAGTTGGTTGATCCACAGTTGTGGAAACTGTCTTTTAGAGCCCTTCATTTTTTTTTTCAAGGATCAGGTCAGGAATAGGAGGCTCTTGTTTTTTTTGTGGGGGGGGAATCTTTTATTGTGAATATGTATGCATCAATGCACATATGTTGCAGCTTATTTTGCAAATATTTACAATGCAGGCAAGGTCTGGGGGACCTGGAAGCTACTCATTCTAAGCTCATCTCGGAGCAAGAGTACCATGATTCGTTTACCATGACACGTGGGAATTCCACACCCTTTCTTTCCATTCAGCTTGGGAGGAAAGCTTTGGAAGTTTATGGTTTTGGTTTTGCATATGCACAGCTTATTGTTACATCCAAAGCCAGGAATGTGGTTTGATATTAACTGTGGTTTCAAAACAAGCCAACTTCAAAGCAAGTCTCATTATAATCCTATTTGCACATTAAGATAATCACAGGTGGTCCTTGGGAGTAACATTATCTGTGGAAACCCACTTGACATGCACAGGAAAGAGAGGCCTTCTCCTGTATTTGGTGGTATAGAGGTAAAACTAGAAGTCCGGACACTTAAGATGATTGTCCTGTGTGCAATGAATTCCCACCAGTGTTGGCTTGACATTTTATTCTTGCTCCCCTTTGGTGCTTCTTCAAACATCTCTTCATGTTTTCTATTTAGACCATGTTTGTTGATTATTTTGATGACTTGAATTGCTGTGATTATTGCAATTTTAATGGTGTTAGTGTTAATTCTGTTTTTAACTTTGTGTTTAATTTACTTTCAACCTGTTTAAATAATGTTTCATACGTGCCTAGTTCTTAGGGGGTAAGTTCTAGTTTACTAGCTTTTAGGGGGAAAGTGAGATATATGTACAATGAAAAAACAATAATAAATACTTTAAAAACTGTGGTTTCCAAGGCCAGCTTGTTTAAACTGATGATGGTTAGGGTAAATCACACTCCCCAGTTTTTAATATAATGAACAGCCACATGTAAAAGATGCCTAAAATGTAAACTTACAAAGTCCTCCTCTTGGTTTTTCCAAGGAATAGAGAGGGGCAGCCATATGAGCCTAAGATTTGCTTTGGCTCATACATATTGAGTTAAACTGAGCTTTAGTTTTAATTCTGAGTATTGTCACTGTTTGTGGCAGATTTGTGCTTTGGTTTGAATTAGTTCATAATATAATGAGGGTCAAATGAACTTAAATAAACCCTGCCATAGCCTTCTACACAATAATGTTTTGGACAGTGTATTCCAATTGTTTGGTCTAGAGATGGGGGATTAGTATATGAATATGAATAACCCCATGCAGATGGAGTTAACGAGGGTCCGGCCCCTGGGGCTAGACCATCCACCACTGCCACTGGCCCGCTTCGTCCTTCCAATTGCTCCAGAGTGCCATTCTCTTCCCAGTTGTCTAGCCACTCCTGGCAGAGGAAGGGAGAATGAGTCTCCCTGCAAGGCTGCAAAGTGGCACTCCAGAGCAATTGGAAGGAGGAGAGGGGCCACCGGTGCCACTGGATGTGTGAGTGGATGGTCCAGCCCTAGGGGCTGGACCCTCATTAACTCCAGCTGTGTGGGGAGTCACAAATATGAATACCTCCATCTCTAGTTTGGTCCTTCTCTAGAAGATCTCATCTGTGAGGTGGTAGAATTGTTCTCAGTTCTTCTGAAATGTGTTTCTTGCATGTCTGAATTGAGCATAGGACACAAAAGACTAAGCTGTCTCCTATGGCAATTTTTTAGATTCAAGAAAGTATTATTGTGTTAGTGGAGGTGGCTTTCAGTTATGTGATCCTGTGCATGCAGTATGACATTTTCCCAAATGAGCCGCTGTTAAGGGAAGTAGGTGTAAATGCCAATCTAGTGGACAGAGTAATGGACTAGGATTTGGGAGGCCCACACAACCATGAAAACTCACTGGGGGAGTGGAACTGGTAAAACCACTCCTTAAATATCTAACTTACCTTGAAAACCCTATTAGGATCTCTATAAGTTGGTGAAGGCATGTAACGATTTTCCCAAATGAGCCGCTGTTAAGGGAAGTAGGTGTAAATGCCAATCTAGTGGACAGAGTAATGGACTAGGATTTGGGAGGCCCACACAACCATGAAAACTCACTGGGGGAGTGGAACTGGTAAAACCACTCCTTAAATATCTAACTTACCTTGAAAACCCTATTAGGGTCTCTATAAGTTGGTGAAGGCATGTAACACCAACAAGGTGTAAATAGTTTTCCAACGCATAAAGAGTTAAGGCAACCTTTGTAGGAGCAACTGTTTTTCCACTTTTTGTCCAGGATTTCTTCTAGTTTTCTTCCCTTCCTTTAATCTTCTCTTCCTGCCCTCTCTGCAGACCAGATCTGCTTTTCGCTCTGACAATTCACTTGTTCTCTGGCTATTTTTTCCAGCATGACACAGTTTCTCTTGCTCCTTTTAATGACAGTGAGTGGCGAATGGGGGCTGTTCCTAATTAGTGTAGAAATGAGGTGCTAATACACCTTGTTGCATGAGTGCACTTAAGGAACGTCAGATCTTGGAGGCATCTACTTGATAATCCTTTCTTCTGGACCACAAGACACCATATTCTGTGAAGGTCTTCATATTGTTGCCAGTGTAAGTCCTTCCTAAACTACCCCCCCATGCAGTGTTCCTTTTAATATTTTCAAGTTCCTCTTTATTTGGCATAAAATGACCAACAACAATAATTATATTTACCAAGTACCTTTTAAAAAAAGCTTTCTGGAGCCCTTTCAGTAAAAATAACCAGGCTGCATTAAAAAGAAGAACATTCACTGAAGAGCAGAGTGTAGAGTGTAAAAAGGGGGAAGGAAACAAAGCTCTCTAGGAATAAATGCATTTTGACAGCAATGGATCTTCAGGTAGGTTTGGAAGCCAAAGGTGGAGCACAGATAAATACTGTACACCTGCCATTTCAATGCAGTGATAAAGACCCTTAATGACAATATGTCTCTCTCTCTTTGGGATGTAGGAGAAGATACATGGCACAATCTGGCATGAAATAGATGATTTAAGGGCTTTCAAGATGTTGGATTTGGAGGATTTCGAAAAAATGTTCTCAGCGTATCAAAGACATCAGGTAAGGTATTTCTTTTTTGTCCCTATCACTGTGAAATCTGGGCTCCATGTCCTTCTCTACAGAAATAGTGCCAGCCTATGTAAGGTTGATGACATCATCAGGCCTGACAGTTTTTTCCCAGTCCTCCTTTAGGATCCCTTCCATTATGAGATTTTAATTTAACCTCCTGCATTAACAGTCTTACTGGTATAATTTCCTATCTTAATGGCATAAGTTACTTTTGGCCAGCATTCACACTAATGGGGAAGAGGAGCGGGAACTTGTTTCATATCTCATTAGTTTGAAGGTAAGCAAAGTTGTCCTATAGATTTGAGGGCCTTGAATAAGATGCCATCTGGTGGTTCTCTCACCCGTTGCTGATGGCATCTGGCAGCCCTGTGTGATAGTGCCAGCAGTACTGGATGTCTGGATGTAGTTTCTATTTTAATTTCCCACAACATCACTGGCATAGTATCACTACAGGACTGTGTGAAAAGTTAGAGTGGTGGCTGGATGATGTGTCAGTTGATGTTTAGAGAGCCAGAGCGGGGGAAAATATGTAAAGGGCGAGTGTTGTGATAGGGCCTCCGTGGCTGCCCAAGCATACCAGATGTTAGCATTAGTCCTGAGGGTGAAGATAGATCAGAGTGAAGCAGAACGACTGTGCTATCAAGTCTGTTTTACAGCTGTGTTTGCCATTTGTACAAAATGTGTCTGTAGGTAGTACACCTGTCTGGTTTCAGTTCTAAAATTCTTGATTTTTGCATTTACTGCTGTTAATTTTTAATTTATTTTTTTTACCACTGCATGCCTACTTTTCCTGAATAAAATATTCCAAGCAGTTGAAGAGTTTTGATGAGTGAGATTAGATTAGCTAAGCATTTCATTTGCTCTGTTCTGCTCTGCTTTCTTTTTCTTGCCTTTTCATTCCAGCCAACAAGTTACAGATTATAACACTAGCAATATATTTTAACTGTGGCTGTTTATTACATTTTTCCCTTGGTTTTCTTGGAAAGCAAATTACCTGCATTTCGTCTGCCTCTGATGAATGAAATTCAGCTGGAAGAAAGCTGAGGGAGCTTTACCCCTGGTTTCTGATACTTTCCTAGTCACTGAAATGTGCTCTGAAAACATGGTCTGTCAAAGTTGTCTTAATGCAATCTTCTGCTATTTAGACGACATTCCAAAGCTGGAGCTTAAACCTTTCTTAACGAGTTTAAGAAGAATCTGTCATGTCTTGTTTTTCCCTTTTAGCCCTATATTGCATACAGGGTACAATGAAAACTACTGCTGATGTTAAATCCTCTGCCATCTTGTGCTATTCTAGCTGCCACAGCATGGAGTCAACAAAAGCATTTACCATTTGGATTCAGAACTGAACTGACTATAAAATCTCTCAGTTCCCATTGGAATAAGACCATATGACTTGATTGATCTTGGCAAGACACCACATAAATATTTATACGCAGAAAAAGCACAGTGAAGATTTAGCTTGGTCATTTTTTCAGTAACATATTAACTCTACTTCCTACTTCGTCTCATATTTCCTAGGTGTCTCAGTTTTCCATTGATTCAGATGGTCCAACTCTAACTATTACTTGGTTCAGTGGGTCTGCTCTAATGCAATTTATTACACTAAGCAACAGGAATTTGGCCATTGGCTTGTTTCAAGCTGGTCAGTGAAGATTTAGCTTGGTCATTTTTTCAGTAACATATTAACTCTACTTCCTACTTCGTCTCATATTTCCTAGGTGTCTCAGTTTTCCATTGATTCAGATGGTCCAACTCTAACTATTACTTGGTTCAGTGGGTCTGCTCTAATGCAATTTATTACACTAAGCAACAGGATTTTGGCCATTGGCTTGTTTCAAGCTGGCAACCATAGATTCCTGATGTGGTTGTTAATGGTAAACTAAGATTCAGGGAAGACTTGCATGCTTAGTATGGTGTGTAAGGAAGGAGAAGCAAGGAGCGTACCAGTGGAAAGCATGTGCATATCTCTGTTTATTGCACTGAAATGTAGTTGTATGAGCCAAACCTTTATATTTTGGCCAACTCTTTATATACCTTGATTTTTTTTTTTACTTCTACATTTAAATGTGCCAGGTATACCCAAATCCAAATGCCCAAACAAGTCTTTGCTCTTTTGTTCTTGGACTTGTGTGTGTGTGTGTGTGTGTGTGTGTGTGTGTGTGTGTGTACACAAGTGAGAATGAATGAAGCATTTCTGTGTGTGTGTGTGTGTGTGTGTGTCTACAAGTGAGAATGAATGAAGCATTTCCTTCTCCTGTTGGAATTAATATAGGATTAATATTTTTTGTTTTCCTCTTTCTTTTACTTACAATTGCTTCTTTTTTTCCTTGAAAAGACAAAGCATCTGTTCTCCTTTTCCTAGCAATTATGTAAGGATGAAGTAATGTCATTAACCTGGAATATAATTTACATCAGATTAGCTCGCGGATATTCAAAAATAGCATTTCCTTATCTTTAAGAGATAAGTTACAGTTATATAGTTGTACAGAAGGGTGTCAGGAGATATGCATGACAGCCATTGAACTCAGTAAGATGTACTTTTCAGTCCATTAGCAATGCTAATTGTTGGCTGTAGAATCTTTGCACAAAAGATGCACATTATTTCCTATCACACTATTGATGGTGGTGACTGTTTATCAGACTGGAAGAGGAGAACAGACCTTGATGCATTTCCTCTTTGGTTCTTTTAATCAAGGGGCTTGTTAACAGGCATAGCATTTTAATTACTTAGGAAACCAAATACTGTTGCTTGGATAAAACCTGTACCTTTTTACTGCTGTGGCTAACTATTGGCATGTCTCCTTCTCTATTGCCTTCGACTGTTGCCTGAGTAGGACCTGCTAACTAACCCTCCTTCCTCCTGTAAGCAGGTGAGTACTACTATCTGTCACCATCTTACTTAAAGCATTCTTTCTAATGTTTGTCTTCAAAGACTCAGCAGCAGCATCCAGATCTAAATTGTTTACTGCATGAATAAGCCTGACTGTTAATCTGAATTTCTATGGGCTGTCTGGGACGGAGGAGATGACAAGGGTTCCCTTGTATCAGGGAGAGGCCATTGAAAGTCATTGTCCTTTGGTGTAGCTGAATCCACTGGGGAACAAAGAGAAAGGCAGATATGGGAAAAGTTCTTTTTCCTCACACTCCAGTGGTCATAACTGCTGGGCTATTGTAAGGCTTATAGTCCGAAAGAGTAAATTTCCCCATCTTGCTCATGGGACAGGAAGTGTGTGTGTGTGCAAAGCCGCTCATGAATAGTAATTCATGAATGGTAATTTTATCTGTATAGCTCAGAATTCTCAGTTTGGTTTCACTAGCAGAAGTGTCTTTCCAGAGCAGTGGAGGATGGGAATTTATGTGATTTCCTCTCTCTGCACACCCTGCAAGAACTCAGGAATATTCTGGAATTTTGTGTGTGTGCATACACGCGTGTGCGTGCACATGTGTGCATGAATAGGGCTTCTTTCTGCCATGGAAACCTAGGGGTAAATCCACTAGCTAGTCAGAATAGAGCCATTCAGTGGATGGGATTTGCATGAGTGTTGATTTCCCAAATTCCACTCATTTCAGCTGTTAGGAGCTACCAAATTATTTCATTCCCTAGTTGGCATCCACAACATTGAATCTACAGCCAATATCTGTCTGGGGAACTTTTTCAGTCCTTTAGGTTCATTTGGGCAATATACCCAGCTATCCTAAAACCCACAATGATTTTTTTTCAGCCTCCAGAAAGAAAAGTGGTTATCTTAAAATGGATGATTAATATTCTTTTAAATTACAAATTATTCAAGTGTACCACGATGCATGAGGGTATTCTCTCTCTCTCTCTCTCTCCCCTTTACCATTCAGCTAATATTGACAATCCTGTTTATAGTGGTAGAAGTAAGATGAGAACCATACACACACTCATCAATGCATACTACTTTCGATGTGTGCGCAGTTGCACCACTGTCTGCAAGGAAATATGCCATTGTGCTAATTAGTGACTAAGTAAAGAAACATTTACTCTGTGCTTCTGTGATATTCTGTTAAGCATTGGCCTTTTGTGCCTTGAATAACCATTCATCCTGGATGGATTTCCTTGCAAACCCAACAGTTTGGGTTCAGATTGCTAGCTACCTAGTCGTCCTTCTGTCTCTTTCAGAAATAGGAAATGGAGGGAAAAAACGATATGGCACTGATTTTGATGTTTGTTTCTTGAATTCTTTGTAGAAGGAAATGGGATCAACTGAAGATTTGTACCTGTCCAGTCGGAAAGTCAAAGAGCTTTCTGTGATTGATGGCCGAAGAGCCCAAAATTGTGTCATTCTCCTTTCCAAGTAAGTGTGCTTCAACCTGGTTTGACTTTAGGCATTAGGTTTTGAAATAAATGATGAAGGAAAATTGTCATTCACCTGCTGCCAAGCTGTGGATTTTTAGTCAAGAAGCTCTCTAAAATGTTCTCATGTTGCTTGTATGTATCACTGCTTTTGTCACTGACTCATTCATTTGAGTGTAAAGCAGGAGGTTCAACCTGAACCTTATTTGATAATTTGATATCATTATTGATATGATTTTTGTAATTTGGATTTATTTAATGAAATTTAATGTGATTTATTTAGGAAGTTCGTAACTGGGGTGCTAACTTTGGGAGCTCAGACCAACCTACTGATCTATAGGTTATAGCTTCAGATCCCAGCGTGAATCTTTGGTTGCGAAGCTGGGTTTTAATGACAAAATACACATTTGGCATGTGCGTATGAAATCTTAAAGTGCAGTAAATCTCTTCATTGCACACTGAGGAAACTTGTCAAATACCAGACACATATGTGCCAAACCTGTGTCTCTGTTCAAGAGTTTACAGTAGATCCTGGCTTAGTTTAATTTGCAGTGTTTTCATGTTTCTATTGTTTCCTTCATTTTATATTGTAAATTGCTTGGGGGATATAAAATGATTGAATAAGATAACTTAGAAATGTTAGGATGCAGCAGATATTTTTCCTTCCATTGCTTTTATTTTACACCAATCTCTGTCCTGAGATACTATGGTTTGTGTGCATTAATTGTGTTCTAAGCAAGTGCTCCCTGGAATTGTAATACCCTTTTAACTGGCTGATAAAAATGTGCACTAGATTCTTTATTTACTTCTTTATCAAGAGGCATTTCAGTGAGTGATATAATTTCCTTATCCCTGCCTCATTATTTTTCCAGCAATGAACAAGAATAATCATGTGTAAATGGTTTATTTGCGCATAAATTCTATATGCTCGAAACAGATGGTGCCCTGGCATCTTTGGCATGTGTTTTGTAAGCTGCCCCTTTGCTGCTTGGCAATAGGAGAGGCCCAGAATCCAACTGCATGCAGTGGCTACACCATTTGCTCTATTTTTAGAATGTTTGAGGCTAATTAGCAGAGATGTAGTGGACGCAGAGACTGGGGGGGGGAACACATTATGAGTCAACACAAATTTATTAAACTTCAGAAATCTGACAAATATACTTTCAAGCTGCAATCTAAACTTTAATCTTAGGACTGCAGAGCTGCAAAGGATCGTCAAGTCCAGCCCATGTCAAAGAGGCAAAGTAGGGAATCAGGCTCCCAACTTTGGATTTCGCAGCCAGATACCTAAACACTGAGCTATCCGCAGTTGTAAGAGAATGAACATTCAAGCATGTTTGTACACAGTAGTGGTTCCCAACTTTTTTCAAGTTACAACTACCTTTTATAATATCCAAGTAACGTGCAACTTGCTTACCACGTTTGCATAAAAAGCCATTTTTAATAGGGTACAGTCATCCCTTCTCAGAGAATAAAGGCGTCTTTCTTCCTAGAAAGGACCTATTTCTCTTACATACAGGTCTTTCTTCCTAGAAAGGACCTATTTCTCATACATGGTAACTTTAATATTCCACTCTGAAAGGTCGAAGAAGAAATTACAGTATTTAACAAAGCTACCTATGACCCCCCCATAACACTTTGTGACCCCCTTAGGGGTCTCACACACACACACACACACACACACACACACACACACACACGGTTGGGAAACACCGGCAGACAGCATAGTACATTCTGATTCACAACTGTGTTCACTAAAAAATAGAAAAGAGTAGGCTGTCCTGGTTCTCTTGTTTCCTCTTTCCCTTCTGCTGCCCCTAAAACCTGCTTCCGAGGGCTTTGTAGCTCCCAGACACATGTTCTGGGATTGCTCCGGAGACTGTAATGGAGCAGAGGCCTTGCTCTGCTCCTTTTGTTATTGAAATCAGCTTCTTTTAGTGGAACAACTTCAGTGGATTTTGGTCAATATTTGTTTAAAAACTTTTTCTTACTCTTTTTGTTCAAACTGGCTCATAAGGACAATGTACCCACTTATCCTAAAACCTAATTTTTTTTTCTGCCTCCAGAAAGAACAGTGACTATCTTAAAATGGAGAATTAACATTCTTTTTTTTTACAAGTAATTTAAGTGTGCTTGCTGTAACAGCCTGGTTAAGAGCCAGATGTCATAGAAGCCTGCTTATTTCCTAGGTAGTATATGGCTGTAGTAGTAACTCAGTGTAACTTGCTTGCTGTAACAGCCTGGTTAAGAGCCAGATGTCATAGAAGCCTGCTTATTTCCTATGGCTGTAGTAGTAACTCATTGTAACCTAAAAGAGGTACAGTGCTGGCACATGAAGAGTGTGAAAAGGAGGAGAGTCTCTGCTATCTGTGGGGCCTCCCCATGTGAATTAGGACTAGAGGACTAGGCCAGTGGTTCATGCCCATATCTAGATAGGATACTGATTTTTCTAGGGTCCCAGTTCATATGGAAGCAGTGGCACCTCCTTCTGTTCTCACTTGAGATGAAAGTGGACCAAGTTCCTCTCCCATAACAGAGGTTCTCCTCTTCATATGTGCGCACATGGAGAACAACAACACAACACTGGGGACAGAGGGGGCCAAGCTACTTAGGAGCAATAAAAATCAATGATTAAAAATTAAAATGGGGACAGAGGGGGCCAAGCTACTTAGGATCAATAAAAATCAATGATTAAAAATTAAAATTTATTTAAATCACAATTTAATTTTTTTTAAAATCATTTTTTAATAATTTAATCATGCTCCAACTAGGTGTCTGTTACCCCATTTCCCCTGGTAAATAGAGTGCAGATTTCTGAAAGAAAATCACAATTTAATTTTTTTAAATCATTTTTAAAAAATTTAATCATACTCCAACTAGGTGTCTGTTACCTCATTTTCCCTGGTAAATAGAATGCAGATTTCTGAAAGAAAAACTGAAGTATAGTTATGTCACAAAGAGTAAGAAAGATGTTTCAATAGTCTATAAAAAAAGTCTGTTGTCTCTGAATAATATGTTATATTTGAACTTTGAATATGTTTCTCACAACTGTGAGCAATAAGCCAGTTTTATACTTTACTCTTATTGGGTTTAGTGAAAAACTAAATAATCTCTATCTCTGGCATTGTTGTTGTTTTTTAATGGTGTTTATACATTTTCAGTAAGGGTAAGGGTTGGGGTGAGGGTACAAGGGAATAAGGAAGGGAGGATTAAGGTTGGGGAAAGGATAAAATTCCAGAGAGTGAAAGAGCATTCTTACATCCACTTACTTAGTTATGTTAAAAAGGGAAATCACATAAACAATCTAAAAAATTTTCCAGACTATCCATCTTTACATCTCTCTCCATTCCTTGGACCTTCTTATACTTCTTTTATGTATACTTTCCAGTCCATATTTCGGATCCAGTTATAAACTTGTTTCCATTTTTAAGTCCTTTTTGAGATGATCTTTCATTTAGTGCTTCTGTTAGTACATCCGTCTCCACTTCCAGTATCTTTTCTATCAGTTCCTCCAGAGATGGTACCTTCTTTCTTCCAATATTTTCCATATAGTATTCTCACTGCCATAATTACATGTATTATGAAATACTGTATATCATTTCTTTATCTATAATTTCAGTCATAACTTTGAATAAAAAACAGTTCCTGTTTAAATGGTATCACATAAGATTTTTTGTAGCATTTCATGTATTAATTTCCAATAACTTTTTGCTTCCTTACATGTCCACCAGATATGATAAAATGTGCTGTCCTGCATGTACATTTCCAACATTTGTTGGAGGTATTTCTGTGTATTTTAACAATTTAGTTGGAATCATATGCCATCTATACAACATCTTATATATTTTTTCTTTAAAATTTGCTGATTTTGTAAGTTTAGTATTATGCTGCCAAATTTGTGCCCACTATTCTAAATCAATATTGTGACCAACAATATTATTCTGCCAAATTTGTGCCCACTATTCTAAGTCAATATTGTGACCAACATTTTGTGCCGATATCTCTGGCATTGTTGAGCCACAGAATAAACTTCGCAATTTTATTAGGATTTCAAGATTTCTTGGTGGAAAAGTTCACTTAGATGGCAGCTGACCAAGGACTACAGATGTACAAAGTTAACTTCAGTTGTAGCAAGGGTCTGTTGTGATTGGAGGTGAAACCTATTATTATTTCTGGGAAAGGAGAATGATCGTTATGCATAAGGAGGCATTGCCTTTTGGACCAACAGGAGAACTCATTCTCCATGTACTTATTTTGGGTATCTAAGAAATCCTACAGGAGAACTCATTCTCCATGTACTTATTCTTAGATACCCAAAATGACACCACTCATATCCAAGAAGGAAACTGTCAATAGCATTTGAAGAACAATGGCATCATTTTAAAGAAGACTTAAAGATGACCTGGGGATGGAAACAAAGCAGTCTAATGAGGACTGAACACAGGCTGCAGCGTGCCTTGCAATATTTTGTTGCAGTCTTCATTTGTGTATTTATATATTAAATTGAAGTGATACATTACCTCAGCTTTATCAGACCTCTCCCTCACTACACCATTTCTGTGGCCTGGTTTGACTGTTATGCTTAGGATGATGAAAACCATTCTGCTTAAGGGCCTGTGTGGTGACCCTTTCTTCCTCTAGTTAACTTGCAATGAAATATCTACTTGTAATCTAACATAATGTGTTATTGTGCAGGACTGGCACCAGTGATTTTTAGATATTAAAGACTCCCCTTCCCTAGTTCCAAGGCACCGAAAGACTCTTCTGTGTCAAAAGGGAACCCTAGGAAGCCTTGGGTTTAAAGATTAAAGATTAAAGTCCATGGCTTTACATGTGTGAATTTGTGCAACAGGATTCCAACTAATATGTTATAAAGTTAAAATACGATTAATGGATTATTATATTTAAAAACAATCTTCTAATTTAAGCACAAGTCAACAAACATCAGGGGAACCCGGAAAGTATAAGGCAGTGCCATTGGAAGACCTTTTCCTATCATCC